GGGCAAGCTCCCGTCATTCCCATCAGCGTGTGCCCGACGTGGATCCCGCCCTTTTTCTGGTCCATTTTCTTCTGGCCAATGACGGAGAACAGAAACTTGAAGGTGCCGTCGTGGGTAAGCGCTGTGAATTCTCCCAGGGCGACCTCCTCTGCCATGAGCCGTCGTACCGCATGCTGAACCAGGCCGTCGGGGTGGCGGAACACGTGGTCCATGATCTCACGCAAGAGGTGTGGGCGGCAGGCCAAGAATGGCGACTCTCCGTCGCGGGACCACTGCCTGTGGAGATGGTCCAGCACGCCGCTCATCGCTCCGCGCGAGACCAAAGCGTGGCTAACCAGCGAGTCCTCGAAGCCTTTGGTGTACGAGACCTTGGGGGTAATGCGAATGCAATCAGCGCACTTGGCACGCAACCAGTAGCGCGGGCCCGCCTTCGTTAACACGAACACGAGGTGGGCTTCGTTGGAGCGGCTCGCAGCCTTCAGCGCGTCCGCAGGAGCGTCACGATTCCACGCTCGAAGCAAATCGGCAGCGCGGGCCAGGTAGCCGCCGTCTTTCTGCGCCGCCCGATTAACCACCGAGCAGACGCGGTCGAACCTGTAAAGTGACATGGCGATATTGAAGAGGGCATCGTCCTCGCGAGACGCGATGAACTTAGGGGGCCGGTGGTGCTTCTGGTGCTCGGTGAGCTGCTCGCGGCGGCAGAACGATCGCCACGGGCACAGGGCACAGCGGCAGTGAGTGCGAGATCGAGAGGTGCCGATCTCGGCCTGGTAGTCCGCAGCCTCCTTGCCCAGAATGCTGCAGAACATCCCCAGAAACGTCGGCTCGTCGGACTCGTCGACGTCCTCGTCGCGATCGGACAACGAGGCCAAGTCGACCTCAGATGGATCTGCGGAGGCGAGAGGTAGCTGCACCTCAGCCAGCGAACTCGCAGAAGCGCCGGCTTCCAAGTCCATCAAGGCATCCGCGGAGCGGCCCATCTTGCCGCTGATGCGGAAGACCGCGGCCAGGCGCTTGTCGGCCGCGCCACCAATCGCCCTGCAGAACTCGACCGAACTAACCCTGCACCTGCACCGATCTTCGTCTGGGCCGCACTGAGTGCCAATCACGTCGAACGTCTGTTCAGGTCCGTTCTCCCCCTGAGCCGCCGCCGACACGCGGAGCAGCACGCAATGGGCCCCCCCGCCAGGTTCGCTGTGCAAGAGGTAGTCACCAGGATGTGCGACCAGATGCGAGATCGCTGAGCACGTCCATGACACAGGCGCCTTCGAGACTGATCTCGAAGTGCGCAGCGACCTCGCGATAGGAGCGAGACTTTCGCTCTGGAGCTGGAAGAGGCGGCTTGCCGCGCCCGCAGGATGTGACCACTGCGGCCTGGATGCAATTTCCCGAAGTGAAGTACGGCGCCAGCTGGTCGAGCTCTCCAGGCTCGTCATCGACGGGCAGCTGCTGCCCGCTTGCCTCGAGCGCCTGTGGGAGGATGAAAAGGTACCGATGCCGCTGACCCACGGACCTCTCCTGGGGCGCATTCGGATCCGAATTTCGAAGCGAAACCAGCGAAACAACAAGAAAACCCCTGGAGGCCAAGGAGGGCCAGAATTGCGGCGACTCAACGGTATCGGTACCTTCTCCTGCCTTGAGCCTGGAGCAACGAGCGCTCTTGCTTCGCAGCGAGGTACATCCTGTAACCCGTCTTCTTGTAAACGTAGCTCTCTGCGTCCGTGATAAATGTGTGCGAGTCCTCGGGCACGCTAGGGTTCACTCCGACGCCGTCGAACTCCCAAGCAAGGTGGACAACGGCGGGCCCCCGCTTCTCCAGCACGAACTCCACCAGCGCCTCAGTGCAAGCGTCCTCCGCTCCTTCGAGGAGTCTCGACACGCAGGTGAGCTCAGGGCTGCCCCTCTCGTTCTCAACGGCCGCCTCAAACACGTTTGGCAAGGCAGACGAAGCCGCCCAACGGAGCACTTTCGCGTCGCGCTCCATGTCCTTGAACTGCTCGCCTGCGCGCTTCTTGCCGAACAGGACGCTCAGCGCCACGGTCTTCTTGGCATCGATGTCAGGCCACGCGGCGACGGTCTCGATGGCGCGCCCTTGCTCCGACGGATCTCCGTTCAAATTGATATTAAGGCGCTTCATGACCTGAGGCGCCAGGGTCAAGACCCATTTGCGCCAATCCAACTTCACAACGTCTGGCTGCGCAATCATCTGGATCTGCTTGCTCAGGTGCTGGGACGACAAGCCCTTCGCGCGCCTCCTGCTGCGCACGCATGCGCTCCCGATGGCCGAGAAGTGATACGTGACCTGGAGGGCCCCATCGGAGCCGCGGTGCTCCTCCAGCAATTTGTCCGCCGCCGCCTCCGTCGACTGGAGCGACTCCTCGTGTCGCGACCACGCCTCGAACGCTTCCACCGCGGCTTGCGCCGGTCGACCTCTCGTCTGCTTGATGCCCGCCCCCCCTGCTTGCGCTGCCTGGAGGTGCTCGATCAGCGCATGGCAATTGCGCCGTCTCTCGGGGCACGCCATGTAAAGCCCCAGGCGGCCCAGATCGAGCTTCTCGGGGAACGCGGTCTCGACGGTGATCGCCAAGTGGTTCGCGTCGGGGAACAGCGCGCTGAGGTCGGCGCTGGCGCAGAGGGCTGGAAAATAAAAAGGGACCTCGCGGCCCCATTGCCGCACCACGGGTTTCCATAAGGCCAAATCCTCCACGCAGTTCCAGGCTTCCTTCTTTTCAGACTGCCGCCCACCTTTGAGGCAAGACCCAGCCCTCGCGCGCCACTGCGAGCTGTCCGAAGCGTTGACATCCTCGTCGAGCTGGATGATGGCGAGGAGCATGGATGCCTGGCTGAGGGGCCCCGAGGCGACGCTCGCCTGGACGCCGTGGTCACGCGGCCCACTATGCAGGACAGCTGCGTCGCGGCCGTCCGCCGCTCTGATGTCCCGCAGAAATTATTCGTTCATCGCTGCGCGCGCGGGGGAGGGATTGTCCAGCTTGTCGTAGGCCTCGGTCGCCGAATACTTCTCAATGATCGGCAGGATGCCTCGGGTCATATGGATGAAGCCCGCCACCCCTGAGGAGGCCCATTCCTCCAATTCAGGGTCAGCCAGGAAGAGGCCGCGCTCAACCGATACCAAGGTGGTGTTGCGAGTGAAATCGCCCTCGAATGCGATCAGCAGCAAACGACGCCGCCAGGCGTGAACGGCATCATCGTCGCATTCAATGTGGAACGCGTGGTTCAACTCGATGACAAAATCAGTGCATGTCCACGCGTAGTAGCGCTCGTCCTCGGCTTTCCCGTGGTTCTCACGAACGAGCAATTCCGCCCTGGCGAACAGATTCTTGGCAACGACCTCCTGGATCTTCTCGCCCTCCTGCACCTCCTGGAAGATTACGGCCATGGTACCGATGAGACGCTTGGCAGAAACCTGGAATTCCCTGTCTCGGGTCAGGAGGTAAGTGCTGGCGAACCTGACCATCGCCTCGCCGAGCGCAGCAAGAGTCAGCTTCGATCGCAGCGACTTCCCGTTGCCACATGGGGAAACATGAATAAGAGCCTACGCGCGCACTGCCTGCGCGAGGCGGAGGACGCGGAGCAGGCGACCCAAACATCTGCATATACTGGATTCCTCTCAAAGCCTCAAGACCTGCCGTGGCCAAACGAACACGATCAAACCGAGCCGAAGAAACCCTGCCCACTACGAAGCCTCCGGCTTTTCGATCGTTGGTTCGCCCCGCTGCCACAGGTGCTATATATCTAAATCGGTGAGGCCGTGGTTTCAAGCATTTAGATATCTAGAATTCAGATCAGTGGTTCGCCCCGAGGCCACGGGATCTAAATATCTAAATACCTAAATCGGCGAGGCCGTGGTTTTCAAGCGGCCAGGTAGTTAGGTGGGTGGCTCGCCCCGCGACCGCGGGATCTAAATATCTAAATATCTAAATAGCTAAGTCGGCCAAACTGCGGTTTCAGGTGCTTGGATATCCAGATCGGTGGCTCGCCCCGCGGACGCGGGATCTAAATATCTAAATATCTAAATATCTAAATCGGCGAGGCTGCAGTTTTAGCTAATTAGATATTTAGATATTTAGATCCAGCGGCCGCGGGGTGAACCACCGATCTAAATATCTAAATATCTAAATATCTCAATCGGCGAGGCTGCGGTTTTAGCTATTTAGATATTTAGATATTTAGATCCAGCGGCCGCGGGGGGAACCGCCGATCTAAATATCTAAATATCTAAATCGGCGAGGCTGCGGTTTTAGCTAATTAGATATTTACATATTTAGGTCCAGCGGCCGCGGGGTGAACCGCCGATCTAAACACCTAAATATCAAAATGGCTAAATCGGCGAGACTGCGGTTTTAGCCATTTAGATATTTAGATATTTAGATCCTGCGGCCGCGGGGGGAACCACCGATCTAAATATCTAAATAACTACATCGGCGAGGCTGCGTTTAGATCCAGCGGCCGCGGGGGGAACCGCCGATCTAAATATCTAAATATCTCAATCGGCGAGGCTGCGGCTTTAGCTATTTAGATATTTAGATATTTGGATCCCGCGGCCGCGGGGGAAACCGCCGATCTAAATATCTAAATGGCTAAATCGGCGAGGCTGCGGTTTTAGCCATTTAGATTTTTAGATATTTAGATCCTGCGGCCACGGGGCGACCCGCCGATCTAAATATTTAACTACGTAAAAGCGCAGCCTCGCCGATTTAGATGTTTAGATATCCAAATATTTTGATCCAGCGGCCGCGGGGCGAGGGGCCGATCTAAATGATAAATGCCTGAGAACCACGGCCTCGCCGATTTAGGTATTTAGGTATTTAGGCATTTAGATCCTGCGGCTGCGGGACGACCCAGCAATCAAAGTATCTACGTAGTTGAAAATCACGGCCTCGCCGATTCAGACGTTTAGATATTTAGATTTGCATTGTTGGCGACTGACCTTTCCCTTTCCGAACTCGCACGCGAGGCGGCTGACGCTGGTGCATCAGCGCCACCGCCTCGCCGACGCCCTCGATCTCCTTGGACTCCGCGTCATCGCCGTAGAGGGTGGCCATCATCAGGTCGTACCTTTCCACGTCAGCCGCAAGAGGCTTGAACTTGATGGATAAGTCGATGTACGCGTAGCAATTGACCTCGGGGCTCTTGCCCATCTTCTCAGCTGCCTTGCCAGGCTCGATCTTCAGGCACGCGTCCTTGAACGCTAGGCGAGGCTCCGCCCGTTTCTGCTGGTCGCACCACTTGCAGAAGGTCTTGAGGATGTTGTTGTTCCCAGTGGTCTGAAACCTTGCCAGCGTTTCGCGGAGCATCTTGCGCGCGATGGAGAAGCTCTCATCTGGGTCATCACCCCCATCCGCCTGCGCCGCTGCGGCCGGGCCCGCGTAGTCAAGGGGCCACCCCTCGTCCCACGACGGTCGCCTCACGTTCTTGTCCTTGCTCATGCGGAGAAGGATCGCGCCCGCCTGGTTCACTGCCTTCTCCATGCGCAGCGCCTGCTGCACGTTCATCGCGGCGGCGTGCTTCCAAGCTCCATTGTGGTACCTGTACGCCTGCCCGTCATGCGCACGCCACGGGCTCTTCGGGCCCCCGAAGACGGCCATGAACGCGCGGAGGGGGAAGAGATCGTGGACGCGGGCGCCGCCCCGCTCTATCTCATCAACAATGGTCTTCACGACGCATAGCTCGTCGTACTTTTTCCCGAGGCGATCGTTGTTCCTGGCCACCAGCCTCTGCGCGGCAGCGTGCGCCTTCGAGGCCTCGTCGTTCAGCGACATCTCCTCGTCGCCCATGTCCACGTCGTCGGCCACGGCAGTGAAGCGGTCCGCGAGGGCGCTCGAACTGCGGCCGAACTTCTGGAAGATGCTCTCCTTGTACTTGCCTGGGGAGAACACCGCGCCTGGAGAAGGCGCAGGGGTCGCGCGCGGGCTTGGCCGCGGGCTTCGGCTTCGCCCGCGCTCCCCCTCGTCCCAAGACATCCTCTTGGACCGCGCAAACTGGCTCCGCCCGCGACGGGCGCTTCCCCTGCCCGAGGGGCGCAGTGAGCGCGCTATGGCGCCACTCTGCCTTGAAGCCAAAACGGTTGCGATCACGTTAGCACCGATGATACAGATGTGCGTCATGCGGTGCCTGTCGCTAACGGCATAGATAGCGATCTCCCAAGACGGCCTCAAGGCAGCCCCAGAGAAGCCCCCGAGAGCCCTCCGCAAAGATTCATATCCATTGAAGACGCCCCTGGGACGCCAGATGATCCCGCGACGGTCGCAAGCACCACCTTCTGTTGAGATACCCGCGGAATGGCCCAAGCCATTCGCATGCGCTCAAAAACAAGCCGCAAAAAAAAGCTCTTGCTCACTAACAGGTTTTTGGCACTGAAGAGGGCTCAGTGAGCAAGAGGGTTGTTTTCGCGCTTTCGGTTGGAATCGTTGGCTTTGATGGCGATCTCCCAAGACGGCCTCGAGGCAGCCCCAGAAAAGCCCCCGAGAGCCCTCCGCAAAGTTTCACATCCATTGAAAACGCCCCTGGGACGCCAGATGATCTCGCGACGGTCGCAAGCACCACCTTCTGTGGAGATATCCGCGGAATGGCCCAAGCCATTCGCATGTGCTCAAAAACAAACTGAAAAAACTCTTGCTCACTAACAGGTTTTTGGCACTGAAAAAGGCTTAGTGAGCAAGAGCGTTTTTTTCGCGCTTTCGGTTGGAATCGTTGGATTTCCACGCCATCTACTTTCTGCGGTGGCGCCGTTGGATTCTGCGGGCAGATAACTTCTACGATTTTCGTCATCACCCGCGTCTTCTGAGGGTTCGGCGGGATGGCGTAAGCCATCTGCACGCGCTCAAACCAGACCAAACAGCTTTTGCTTACTACCAGCTTTCTGATCCTGGAATAACCTTGGCGAGCAATGCCGTTTTTGCATGCTCGCGGGCCGAATCCTTGGAGCCCCCCTTGGATCGGGATCCCAAAATCCTTGCCCCGAGCCAGATACCTCAACAGATTTCTGTAGTGAGCAAAAGCTTGTGTTTCACACTTTTTCCTGGTGGGTCGCTTGGTCTTCAGTCGTCGTTGTCGCTTCCGCGGTCGCACCCCTCGCCCTCGCTGCCGGCCGCGTTGCCCACGTCGCCGCGCAGCTCGTTCAGGCGCCAGCACCGCTTGTGAAGATTGTAATGGAACGTCACGACCTCTGAAATCTCACAATACACAAACTGCAGGCCCGTATCAGACACGCCCAGAATGTGTTCCACAGCTTCGCATAGCTCCCCCGCCAAGGCTCGCTTCTCGCCGCGCGACTTCCTGGTCAGCACGCGGAGAAACTTTAAGTCATCCCGGAAAAGACGGCGCAACTCCGCCATGCTGGCATGAGAGTCGCCCCACTGCTGCAGCACATCTCCGAGCAGCGAGCTGCCCGTCCCACTCTGTTTCCACATCCCGTTCATGACGTTGACGCCTGCCAGGGCGCCGGGGCCCATGAGCGCCCCGTGTTGCGAGCACCGCCCTGGGCGGCGCTGCTTGTTTGCATAAGACTGCTCTAACAACGAAAAGGCGTTCTTGCCCAGGAATTTCCCGCACACTTTCACCAAGTCAAGTGACACCTGCAGATGTGACGCGCTATCGAAATTGATGTCCTGATTCACGTTGTCCCTGATCCGAATCAAACGTTTGATGGCTAACTCACGTTTGCTCTTCGAGTTGAACGCTAGCCCGTTGAAAGCGCCAGTGAACAACAGTTCGGGATCTATGCTGTTTACTAAATCATGTGCGGTTTCCCAAAACTGTGCGCCTGTCCAACAATTACCGGCATTTTTTTCAACAACTCTTTTAAATAAGAACGGCCATTGATCGTAGCACACACTGCGGCTGCCATCCGCTTTTCGAAGGACCTCGGCCTCATTCTGTCGATGATACGGAGGCAAAGAACAGTCTGTGGGTCGGTGTACTCCTCGTTTATTTTGCAATTCGTCAGCAACGCTGCTGCGGATCTGCGAACAAGGACATCGGAAGCGTCACCCTGCTGATTCATAACACGAAATTGAACAGACACATCGTAGAACAAATTGTGATCACCCAGTTTCTTGTAATAAGCCGCCTGGGCGCGGCGCCCGCTAACTTCCTGCAGCGCCACAGAGTGTCTGGCCGCAAACAGACGCGCTACGCCGAGAATCCCAGAACAGCGAAACGTGGACATCCACTTATGCGGCGAAGGGAGCTAACTGACCAAGTTGAGCCAAACCAACTACTCGAGCCAAGCTTGTTACGGTACTGGTGCTAACGGCGGCGATAGTAACGAAGATCGAGGGCCCAAATTGCTTTCCAAACCAGCTCACGTCGGTCCGTAAAGGTCGCAAGCAGCCCAGGGACGAGCCAAGTAGCCCATAGAATCGTTTTCGTCATCTATGTCGCCATCGTTGTCTCTCTTTTCCTCCTTGTCCTCCTCCTCCTCGTCCTCCTCATCCTCCTCCTCCTTCTCCTCCTCCCCTTCTTCCTTTCAACCTCATTTATGATGCAAAGACACGCGCAATACATAATGCAAAGAGTGATGTATTTGAGTTCTCGTCGCTCCGACGCCTCTCTGGGAGTAGCCGCCTCCACTGCGCTCCAGAGCAAAGTTCTCCTCCTTCCTACTGTTCCTCCCCTCTTCCTCCTCCTCGTCTTTCGTTCTCTTTCTGCTTTTCCTCTCCCAAATGATCGTCATTTTCCTCCTTCTTCTCCTCCTCATCCTCCCGCTCCCCCCCCCCCTCGTCCAGCTCCCCCACCCCCCACCCCACCCCACCCCCCGCCGCCCCACCGCCGCGCATGGACACATGTAATTTAGATTTTTACATCTTTAAATATTCAGGTTTCCTGAGAAAACCTCCTTGGCCAAATGGTCCGGGACCAGGGTTCGTACCCCCCCCCCCTCCGCTCGAAAACCGGGGGTGGTCACTACCGGTTCGAACCCCCCCCCCCCCCCCCTACCTTCCGGATCCGGAATGCCGGGGGGGTCACTACCGGTTCGAACCCCCCCCCCCCCCCCCTCCCCCCCCCCCCCCCCCCCCCCCCCCCCCCCCCCCTACTCACCGCCAGCAAACGACTCCCGGTCCCCACCACCGTCCGCATCACATCCCCCACTGGTGTTCCCAGCACCACTGTCCTCACCACCGCTGTCCCCACTGGTTCCACCACCGCCCCTACTGTCCCCACCAGTGGCGCCCACCCCCACTGTCGCACTGTTCCCGCTGTCCCCAGAACTGTTCCCACCACGGTTCCACTCTCCCCACTGTCTCCACGGCCCCAACCACTGCCCGACTATCCCCACTGTCCCCACTGTCCCACTGACTCCTCCGCTGTCCCACTGAGCTGTCCCACTGTTCCCACCACTGTCCCCACTGTCCCCACCACTGTCCCCACTGTACCTCTGTCCCATTGTCCCACCGCCGTCCTCGCCACCGCCTTCACCACTGTCCCCACCACCATTGTACCCTCCACTGTCCCACTGTTTCCACCTCATTCCCATTGTCCCCACACCACTGTCCCCACCACCACCGTCACCACCACTGTCCACTGTCCCCCCCTGTTCCCACCATTGTCCCCACCACTGTCCCCACCACTACCGTCCCCACCACTGTCCCACTGTCCCACTGTCCCCACCACTGTCCCGCTGTCCCCTCACCACTGTCCCCACCAACACCGTCCCCACCACTGTCCGCACCCCCACTCGGTTTTCGAGGGGGGGGGGGTTCGAACCGGTAGTGACCCCCCCCGGTTTTCGAGGGGGGGGGGGGGGAGGGGTTCGAACCGGTAGTGACCCCCCCCCCTTTTCATGATGAGCTGGGGGGGGGGGAGGGGTTCGAACCGGTAGTGACCCCCCCCGGTTTTCCGGAGGGGGGGGGGGGGGGGAGGGGTTCGAACCGGTAGTGACCCCCCCCAGTTTTCCGCCAGCAGCGGTAGAACACGCTCTTTCGTATGTATGTATGTATGTATGTATGGCTGTATGTTTGTATGTTTGTACGTTTATACG